CAAAACTACTGTAGAGTTTCCTTTATCAGCTTTTGTGATGACGATGTTTTTATCAATTTTAAGATTGATTAGAGCCAGTCTTTCCGATTTTGTTAAGTTTAACAGTGCTTTCTTTTGTTTCATAAGAGTTAATGCACATTGTGTTCGAGCCTCTTCCTCTGTCGTCTTATCTATTGAACTTAATGCTACTTCTATGTTAGGGATGGATGACATCTTCTGGTTTTAGTTTGCTAACCGTTACATTGAAATTTAATCCCTTTTCAAGCAGTTTTATCTCACTAGAGCTTAATTGTCTTGAAGAGAGAGAGGTTGATTACCCACTTTGTTTTGTCAATAGAAGATGAAACATTATTGTGGACTTCTTCATTCATTGTGCCGTTCTTTTCTTCTATGACTATGATATGATTATCAGCAATAGTTTGTGCTCGAAACGTTGTCATCAGTTAATATTACTGTATAACACTGTGATTTATCAAAATAAAATCTTATCTATAAAGGAGGTATTTTTTTCCGTCACGTTCCCCAGTGGAACATAGGGCTTCAAGCTAGTGGCTTGAAGTTTCTGTAACAGTGTTTATTTTACAGGATGGGATTACTAGCCTCATGCCCAACCTTTCATCTTCACCAGCATTATATCTGGCTTAGCGACGTAAAGGAGTGCGTCGGCCGGGGATCGAACCCCGGACCATGTGCATGGTCGGCGAGCGTCCTAACCGCTATGCCACCGACACACAAAGGAGGTATTATTACGAGTTGATCACGGATGATATCAGTTAAAACCATTGAAACCAGGAGTACTGACAGCTGCTGTTTCATCCTAGTTTGGAATCATCGGCATGGTTTCTAACTGATATCAGTCCGTGATCAACTCGAAAATAAAACCTAATATTTCTAGTAATTTATTTGCTTAGTATCATTAATTAATAATCAGACATTTCATTATTCGTAACTCTTTGTAGCTGTAACGCTACCGTAGACAGAGTGAAAAATCCATCTCTTCTCACAATAAAATTTGTCTTCGGAAGGCTATTATTCTTATTTCTTATTGATTACCATAGCAATTCGTTTCATGAGGTTATCAGGAATTTATTTCAGGGAACTGAGGAAAATAGAGATGCGCCACAGAAGCCTTGTGTTCCACTCGAAAGGAAAAGAATAAGTGAATGAATAATGATAGCAATTTTATGAGGTAACCATTTATTCTTTCGCGTGTAATCATTTTTAGTAATCGTAATTTTTTATTGACTTTATGATACAATTAATTTTAACCTGTGAATGTTTTCACCGAATTTTCTTGGTCAGTTATCATTTGACCAGATATCAGATATCCAGCACTCTGTGGTTTTCAGTGGCTTTCTGACTTATGTCAACTTGTCATCCGAATCGAAACAAACCAGATATGTGGAAACAAAAACGCTTGAAGATTAACCTAATGCTCACTGCTGCCTGACCACAGGATAGAGTGTCTGAAGTTCTTGTGAGAAGTGAGGTCAACCAGGCCGTGTTCGAGGATATATACTAGGGAATGACATTGGCTGCAGGTGTCACTAAATATCACGAATCGGCAGAAGTAAAAATCCATAGGTCATTAGATTCCACCACATTGGGTGAATATTCAAGGGGCTGGCTTGGGAACTCTAGGGTTCTCGTGTAGATCTCTGGTGGAGTCAAGGTGTGCAGTGACGATGAGTCTCAGCACAGTCTGGCTTTCCGTGGTTCTCTAACTGATAACACACCGCGACCAGACTTGAAGTCATTTATGTCCCTAGAAACTAACAACTGAAAGTATCCCCCTTTCGACATGTTGATACTGACTTGCCAATTGTATTACTATCCGAACGTTCTTCATAATGTGCACGTCGTGTTCATTTTTGGTGTTTTAGTCAACTCATCCAGTGTAAATTGCTTATTCATATCAAAGGGATTACTTGTGTATTTTGTTGTTGCTCAGGTTGTATGCAGTTAACAAAACTCTATAAAATAAAATGTATCCATCATATCTAGCAAAGGCTGTTCTTATTGCCTTGCTCAAATTTATCCCGGCGACTAGCTGGTATAAAATTACTCTACGATGCGTTTATAACATCTATAAAATATTAAGTGATTCAATGGAAACTAAAAGGTTCGGGAACGATGCTAATAATGACCTGTTTTATGAAGTAATATGGATAAAGCACGTTGTCAATACAGATGAGAACAAAAGTACTTATTGATATAAGAATAAAACTTGTGCACTGTGGTAGAGTATAATTCCATTATGGGTAAATTTTATTTTGATAAAGTCTCACAGTGTTATACAGTAATATTTACTGATGACCACGTTTCGAGCACAATTTATTACAGCTCATAATCATATCAAAGTACTCACATAAATTTTCTGCTTCGTTTATATACATGAGTGAAAATTGACTAGACATATGAATAAAATCAATATAAGACATGTGTGATACAGAAAGGAAGATAAAGTAAATTCGGAAACTATAGCGTTGTCAATAAATATTATACGATGGGAAATAAGACGAGTGTTGTTAGTCAAATAGATGGGAAATATGCTTTTTTTATTAGTAAAATAAATAACTTGTTAGTGTTATAATGTGAATTGAAATAAATTTTAACAGTATTTGTTATCCTCTGATTTGACTGGTAATAATATCTTCCATATCTCTGGTATTTGCGTTGAGTGTGTTGGGTGTTGACTGGATGAATAAGCATCCAGTAATCAATCTCTTTCTCCACCTACCTAGATTACTTTTTAGAATTTTAACCCTCTCCCACCCTATCGTGTGCTTGTGTGTTGATGTTTGCAATGCGACTGCTGAGTTTTTTCTAAATTACTTATCTTCATGGGATCAGTCATTCTAACCTTGTCTAAATACTTATGTTCCGACAATCTGACTACTCTTGATCTACTAGTTTAACCTATGTAGTTGACTTAACTCACAGTCATTGCAAGATATTTTATAAATTATATTGTTCTGTTTAACTGGGTCCACCGGGCCCTTTAGTCTACAGAGCTTGTCCCTGAGTGAGTTTGTAGGTTTAAATGCCACCCTAGTTCCTGCTTTATTAAGAATACTACGTAGGGTCTCAGATGTCCCCTTCTTATATGGTAAAACTACTGTAGATGCCTTATATTCTTTCTTATTTATGTTATCATTATTAGTTTCACCATTATTTTTATTTTGATCTTTTTTGATCTACGTAATGAATTTTAAAGGATAGTTATTTGACACCACTGCTTCTTCAATTTGTTTTACTTCATTATTTAGGTCTTTTCTTGTACTACTTAGTGCTACTGCTCGGTTTGTTAGACACTTAACTATTAAGCCTGCCTTAACAGTTAACGGATGATATGAATTAAAGTTCAAATACCTATTAGAATGCATTGGCTTTGTATAAACACTAGTGTGCAGTCTACATTCTTCTATACCTTGCAATGACTGTGAAGTCAACTGCATAGGTCAAACTAGTAGATCGGGGGTAGTCAGATTGTCGGAGCATAAGAATTTAGACAACGTTAGAATTGTTGACCCCGCGAAGATAAGTAATTTAGAAAAAACTCATCAGTCTCATGGCATGGACTAACACACAACCACACAATAGGGTGGGAGAGGATTAAAATTCTAAAAAGTAATATAGGTATGTGGAGACAGAGATTGATTACTGAATCCTTGTTCATCGAGTCTACACCCAACACATGCAATAGGAATGACTTATCGCTCATATCGGAAATATGGAAAATCCTACTACCAATCAAGTCAAGGGATGGAAAATAATGGAATTATACAAACAAAGTTAGAAAGTTGTGTGAGTAGCTTGATATGATGATGAGCTGTAATGAATTGTGCTCGAAACGTGGTCATCAGTAAATATTACTGTATAACACTGTGAGAATTTACCGAAATAAATTTTACCCATAAAAATGTTGATCCTCGCAACAGAATAATGAAAACAATAAATCTAGCCTATCACATAACAGGTACTTGGAGAACCAACCAACTGTGCTTCGGTGGCACAGTGGTTAGGACTCTCGCCGACCATGCACATGGTCCGGGGTTCGATCCCCTGCCGGCGCACACCCGATATCTATGGTCAGCCTGTAAATTTGGGCTACCGATATCCATGCTGAAAATTCCATACTTGTACTGAAAATACGGTGTGGAATCAAGCTGTAATCTAAATCTAAATCTAAAATCTAAAAAATATTCAAGGTCATGGAGATGTCAGTATTGTCTTATTTGACGGTCATCTAATGGAAACTATTGAATCCATTGGGTCCTCATTGATAGTGCTGTCTAGTATAATTACAGAATTCAGTTAATCCAGTTAATACAAAACTTGTGAATTGGCTAAAAGCTAAGTTTAAATTTCACTTTTATATATTTACTTAAACATGTGGACTATAAACTGCCCCTTTTAAGAAAACGAAACTTGCGTCTACTCGTAAGCAAATAAATTAACATTCAAGTGTTGGTTTGTAGGGATTTGATTGGTATCAGGATTTCATTATGAGCTGACATTAGTTAGAGAACCATTGGAAAACCTGGGAGTACTGAACAGCTGTTTCGTCAGTTTGGTTTGGGACTCTTCATCAGTGCGCATCCACCGGGATTGGAACCCAGGACCTTCTGGTTACAAGGCTCATATACCACTAAGCCACTGGGACCTAATCCAATGGCCCATGAATCCTAACTTCTGCCAATTCACGACATAGCGCGACCCCTAGCCAATGTCTTCGGTGAGTATTTGTCCTCACACCCGACTTGCTACACTGGTCATGACTTCTCACTAGAACCCCAGGTAACTACCTACCTGAATAGGGCAATTCACTAGTGAACATCTCATTGATATTCAAGTGTTGGTTTGGAGGGATTTGATTTCATCATGAGCTGACATTAGAGAGAACCATTGGAAAACCTGGGAGTACTGGAAAGCTGTTCCGTCCTAGTTTGGGACTCTTCAGCAATTAACGTTTTTCAACAGACAATAAAATACTCATCTCCAGAAAGTTGAATCACACTTAAAATTTATTTGATAGCAAAGGTATAAATCAGAAATCAGTAATCAATGAAGAAAAAAAATTTAAACTATTTGCGCTGGGAACTGGACACAGACAATATCATTGCCGTCTTCATCTTGTAACTCCCACCTAATTCCCACTCTTATCTAAATGATTTAAGAAGAGAAAAACCAAAAAACAAACATGATGATGATGTTAAGGATAAACAACCATGTGTAGATAACATTGATAACTGATGCAATATTTACTTTAGCTGGTGTTCCTCAGGGTGCCGTTCTTTCTCCTTTTCTATTTTCCTTCTTCTTACATGACTTGCTCCAATGTGATGAGGCTAATCTCAATCAGATTGTTCCAAAAATGAACCACATTTTATTCGAAATAAGTCAGTGGTCCTTGTCAACAAATGGTCCCTAGCTAAATCCCTCCAAATGTTAGGCTGTTACATTCACTTTCAGATGCAAACGCGACATACATGAGTTGGTTCGTTCGCATGATTCCACTACCGCTGATGATAATGAAGTTGAAACAAAGTTGAATGTTAAATACCTTGGAGTGTGTATTTCCTTTGATGTCTCCTGGTCTTCACACATCATGTTATATCTTAGGAAGGTATTTTGTTTTACATTTCTAGGTAAGGTAGTTAAGACAATCTGGTGTCAATCAATCTCTACTTCTACAGTTTTTTTAATTCATGTATTCTACCTACTCTTGTTTATTGCTCCCCTGCCTTAATCTTTCCTGGACTACCGTGTTGCACTGCGAAGGGCACTAAAGGCTTGGAATCAACTTGTTAACACAGTTGTAGACAGTGGACACATGGACCCAAGCGAGAAATCAGTAAGTACAATCTAGTCAGACCCTGAGCATCCTCTCTTTATACAACTCGCTCTTTGCAACTTATTAGGTAGAACTAGAAGCAACTGTAGAAGGCTGTATATTCGGACGAATAAATACAAAAACTCCACAGTGCATCCTGAAAATTCCATATTTGTACCAAAAGTATTGTTTGGAATAAAGCTATTAGTACTATTACAAATTCCTTTTGATTTATTATGACTGCTGTGTTTTTGTTGGTATTTTTTTTGAGATGCACTCCAATCGTTATATCCCCTAACCTGCTGACTATCACCCACTAACGTCTAAGAAACTTCTAGTTGATTCTGTTCAGAAGATATACTGTGTTGCGTAGGCAGATTTCACATTTAAAAACCTGGGAATTTATCTTTGTATAACGCTGGCTGTTAATAGGTGTTTTTTAAAGTCAAAATTATTCAGTTAACTGTTATTTTATGTTTTGGCCGTGGTTCACAGGACTGCATTTACTACTAATTGATATGAGGCGATGCAGATCACTGACATCAAACAGCTTTGTACGTTGTACATACATAAGAAAATATCTGAAGTGCAAAATTTAAGTCACATCTCTTACCGAGGGATATGCAGTTGAAGTTAGCATTGTATAATTATACGTGTACTTTGCTTCACTTGGTTTCAACGGACACGATGGAGTGACGAATTCGCAGACATTAGGATTATCTAATGGAAATGGTACTGGTATGTGTGAAACTATTCCATGGACGACTGCACTTGCCTTTGTCACAGCAGATGCTAAACGATAAGTACAGAATAATATGTTAATAGATTTTTAAAAAATTTTTTTTTATTTTGATTACAGCTTGATGCCACACTGTATTTTCAGTACAAGTATGGAATTTTCAGCATGGATATCGGTAGCCCAAATTTACAGGCCGACCATAGATATCGGGTGTGCGCCGGCAGGGGATCGAACCCCGGACCATGTGCATGGTCGGCGGGAGTCCTAACCACCGACGCACGATATTAAAAGAAGTTAATGCTGTCACTGAAAATTATCCCATAAAAGTTACCAGTAATTAAACTTCCTATTTTGTATAGAATATAATGAAAATTCAATAGGATGAGAACCGGCGTATTCAGCATTGCTCAGTCGCCGACATTTTCAGTAGTGTTCACCGACGACTCCACCAGGGATTGAACTATGAACATTGGGATCATGAGAAGAGTCTGTTGATCAGTACTCTACTGGGAGGAAGTGGTGTGCAGAGTGAGAGGTTCAGATTCGATTCCCATCCGGCCCACTCATATAACTCACCTTGCTGATAGTAAGTCGAGGAAAGAGAGGATGAGCGGGAGACTAGCAGGCCCGCACCAGCACCTGTCTGAATGCACGAAAGAGATAAGGCTGCAATGCTGATTGTCTTAGAAAATAGCTTCTTTTGTGGATGAATAAGGCATCAGGCCGTATCACTGTCAGTATACTAGCTTAATAGCTCTTGGTGAGTTAAATACATCGGTTGAACAACACTTTCACTGGAAAAAGAGGTTTGTGAGCATTATTCAACTTGACCAGCGAGTGGCAATCGAAACGGCGTCTTTATTTCAATTGAAGAATACTTCCTTAACACAGGGAACACAGTTCTGTTTGAGAAATCCTTCAACATCTTATACTAGGTACAATCAAACTTCTCAAAAGATGCGAGATAAAGGTATCTGAGCACAAGTGAAGCATTGGCGAACCAAAAATTCAAGCTAACTCTACATGTGTAAAAATTGCTTACAACTATGTTGTCTTTACCTAGATATGCACAAGTGATTTGAATCAGTGTTCACGTTGAATACCAGGTGTTACCTATCATACGTCTACCTAAAATCTATTATAAAAACATATCGGTATTTTCACAGAGCAGTTTAAAATATCATAAAAAGAAAATACTATGTGCAAATTGGACTAATGTATAGATTTTAGGCTCACAAAAGGATTGCGATAATTTCAGTGTAGATTTTCTCATGAATCGACATTAGTTACAAAAATTATTGAAAAACAAAGAGTAGGCACTCAAGGATTATTGAATTCTAAAAAGGAGCATTGAATATCAGTCAAAACTCTACCTCAATTTCATTGGCTTCGAAAAGGCCGAAGTAATTTGGAGACTACTTCAACACTATGGCGTGCAGTGCCCCAAATCTTTATCAGCTTCATTCAACAGCTGGCTATATGCCAATGCCTGCCACGAGTTAGGTGATCCACAACGAAAAACTTAGCGAAGTCTTTGAAGTGAAAACAGGGGAACGACAAGGCTGTCTACAATCACCGATGATATTCCTAATTGTGATAGACTGGAATAATGTGTCAGACTGTGAATGGGGAGTGAGAAAACAGGAATACATTGGAGCGATAAGAAGACTCTAGAAGACGTGGACTTCATGGATGATTTATGTCTAGTGTCACATAAACTCGAAGACTTGCAGGCGAAAACCAACAAACCGGCTGAAGAGGCTATCAGAGAAGGCAGGAGCATGGAGAAGATAGAGGTGATGAAGACAAACAACAACAAGCACCAGTCACTTAACTGGGAAGCAGCATAGTTTCAACTACAGGCCCGCCCCACGGATGAGGATGTCCAAACCATAGTCGGAAAGGCAGGCTAGATCTCCATTACTCTGAAATCAGTTTGAAAATCTCTTGCATTCCACAACATAGGGAACAAGATTCTGATTTTCAACATCAATGTCAAGTCAGTCAGTTATCCTATAGGGGTCAGAAGCTTGACCCAAGGGTAATGGGAAGAATTTCCATATGATTGCAGACTTTTATCAACAGCTTCCTTTCCTGCCTCCATAATGAAGATCAGATGGCCGGTAAGAAGGAACTAGCGAAAAGAAACTCCAACAACTAATCAGTCAAGTACATATTGCCCAATAAATATCCTGAAAGAAATGGAGGTGGATCAGATACTCGCTGACGAGACTATTGGCTGGCATCGCGCTCCAGGTCATCATTCTAGTGGAACCCAAATGAGAAGCGACGAGTAGGGTGTGAGTCGGAGAGTGACATGGAGGACATTATGTGAGGAGAAGATGAGAGATTATGGGCAATCGTGGGGCCAGCTGAAGACAACTGCAGAGAAAAGGTCGAAGTGAAGATATGCCGTTGAAGCCCTATGTTCCACTCGAAACCCAAGGGAACAACAATAGTAATATATAATAAATCAGTGTAGAATGTATTAGACTTGTAACCTGAGGTTTCGAGGTTTGATGTTTGATGGAGCCATGGGTACTGTCTGCCGAAGAGTCTCAAACTAGGATCAAACAGTTATTAAGTGATCTCTGGTTTTTAACATATATCAATTCATGACAAAATGTGCGTTGGAGTATTGCTTAACAGTACAATAACTCTGTCTCATTTCAGGTTAGTAAGCAGTGAAATGAATAGTTATTTATGTCATTTACTTATAGCGCTTCTAATCGATCCTCAGTTTACGTTTTTTGATAAGATTTGCACCGAATGGCCCATAGGAGCAGATGATTCGGCAGATGCACACACAAATGGTTAAATGCCAGAGTCCATCCTTCGAGGTATTACATAATACTGGGCTTCAGGGGGGGTATTAATATTAGAATGTCTTCCCAAAGGAAATAGATATCTTCTTTCTTAGAATATTAGCAAAGGAAATCAGTCATCTGTAAAGTTTAAATTCCTATATTGCAGACTTTTCGGTGCATAGGTGGGGATCTCTTTGTAAGTCATAGGACTTACATTTTTCAAGCTAAGTTTAATCACGAGCCGATATCGTCTAGAAAATCCCTGAAAACCAGGGAATACTCGTCTGATGTTCTGACCCACTCTTCAACTCTTCATTAGTACGCACCCATGATCCCACTGGGAGTCAGTTCTCGGAGTACCTAGTTTACAAGCGGGGCGCTAACTAGGAAGAAGTACAATAGCCGATGAATTCTAACTTGCTTCTATAAAGCATGAGGGATACCAAATTTCAGTACATTTTTTCAGAAAAAAGATCTCATTGTACAACACATTTGAACTGCAGACACTTCTGACCTTAATAGCAAAAAATTAGACTGAGTTTCTGTACAGACCTATAGCTACATTAGCTGTAAAATTCTGTACTACTCTCTGTAAACAGTCATTAGTCCATAAACATTTAAAAATAGAGCATTACGTAAAAAGAAGTGAAAAGAATAAAATAAAATATTCACTGTTTTACTTACCCGTTTTAAAGTCAATTGTTATGGTTGCATTTTTGCCTTTATATAAAGAACATGGTTTTGTATCGCATGGTGTAACAGTCATTGAAAGTACAGAGCCTATTTTAGAACCTAAAAATAAAAAGATACATTTGATGTTCGATAATTTGTTTCGTATATAACTTCTTACAATACTGTTACAGCTTAACTTATTCAAAAGTACAAAGATAAAAAGTGGATGCTAATCCAACTATGGATTCTAATGTAGAATTTCTCAGTATTGCAAACATTTGAGTTTTGCAACGAACTCTTTTCTACTCAACTGCTAGATTACCCGGTTAGTTAAAACTCAGCACCAGGCAATGAGACACAACTTTGCGTGAAGGATGAATACATTACCTTCCTGCTCAGGATAAAGTAAGTGGAGCTGAATTCGAATATGGTACGAACCAACCGGAGGTTGAGTTACATCTTCTAGATTAGCATTTCATGTAGCACTTACTTCAAATTCTGATAATTGTATGAGATAACGTGATCACTAAAGATTTGGCAATCTTTGTCTGAACTCCTTAAGGGATTGTAGATTCACACGTAAGTAGGATTTCACAATTAGAAAGAAATAAAGCGAGAATTACAGTTTTGGTACAATAAAGTGGTACCATCATTTTTTTCGCAGGCCACAGTCATTATTAAGCATATCTACAGAAACAATTTTAACATGCTTGCACAGACGGTAGTCTTCAGAAGTCAATTTATGGAAAGCCTACTTGGAAAGGAAAATACTTACATTTTAATAGTTTTTGTCCAAATAGCTATAAATGCGGTCTAGTCAAGACTCTGTACTATAGAGCGAGGAGAATATGCTCTATAGAGAAATTAGAATTCATGTTTCTTGAAAAGATGTTGAAGAGCAGTGGATACCCTCAAAGATTGATTAACAAGTATGGAAGATCTGAAGTCTCAAATGTAAAACAAAGCCAATCTACATTCAACTTGATTATAAAGGTGAAAAAATTGCAGCAATGGTCAACAGAAGACTGTGTACGTCACTAGCCGGAGCCTATCCTTCAGCTAAGTTGGTTTCCGTCTATCGAACAGCTTGCTCTTTTGTGCAATCAAAAATCAACAGATGTCCTTCTCATGTTAACTCCAACTGTATATACAAATTTACATGTATCTGCGGGAGTAGTTACATTGGAAGGACAGAAAGAAGGGCATATCTACGATTTTCTGAACATGTACCAAAAAGCTTACGTCTAAAGGGAACAAATGCTTTAAACAGTGCCATCACCAGGCATCTTCTTGATGTGGGTCATGAGGTGGACCACGCGAAATCGTTCAAAATTATCAATAGGCAAAAGAGCTCAATATATATATATATATATTAGTGTATGCGTATATTGATCGATTGATTTTTGTTTAAAATGAACTCTGTGCAAGTATGTTTATCTTTCCTAGATATGTTGCTTAGTTGACAGCCGGATGGATCAGTACAACAATCAATGTATAGAAAACTTTCCATGAACAGGATAGTATATTAATTACCATAGCTTCTCTCCTGTTCGATACAAAAGAACCTTAGTGAGGGATCTCTTTAGCAGGATTCAACGAATATGCACACAGAATACACTTAAAGATGAGGAAGGTAAACTGACAGGAACTCTGATTGATCAGCGGTTCATAGGGAAATATAAAGTGGTCAGAATACCACTATCCATTGTTCAACTCGTCGGTAAGATGGATACATATATGTAAAGCTACCGTATATAAGTGACTATAACAGCTCAGTAGTTAAAAAACAGTATTAGTAATAATTACAAAGGTAGGTTGTTAATAAACTTCAGGCTTCTCAATGAATAGTAAATCATTAAAATATCTAATCAATAATTTATTTGCTGTTTTATGTTTTAAAAGTTGTTAACTGATGAAGTTGTTTTGAAGATAATTTATCTCAAAACATTGAACAGTGAACAAAGGGTAACTCTTATTGGCAACATTAATGTTTTCTTTTTAGCAACGTTAAATTATTAAGATCGAAAATTCCAAAGGTGTGTGAATTGATTATCACTAGACTCTTCAAATATACTACTAAAATGATCTGTGGATATCAAAGTAAATGCGCATGAAAACTTTGATAGCTGAGGTTCAACTCAGTTCTATAATTGTGAAGATTATCGCACTCGCATATTTTGAACTCTAATCTGTTAGTAATCGATTCAAACACACCTCACAGTTTTTTTTATCTCAATGATTTGTTATTGTTATTATTAGTGTTATCAGTAATATTTACTCCTTAGAAGTGACATATATATGAATATATTAAATATTCCCATAGTAAAATTTAGAACAACACATTTAAGCGAACAATATTGTTTTCAATTAGATCTCATCAGGCTTAACTCTAATATATATAAGTTTACAAATAAAAATTCAAATATAAACCAATCATGGTGTTTTGTCTATAGGATAATACGATGGTGAATATAAATTGTGCAATTAGTCATAATAGTAGTAATGATAATAATAATAATAGTAATAGTAATAATAAAATGGTCTTATCAATAATAAGGATGAAAAAGTGAGGCAATCTGTGATAACACGAATAATGAAAAACAGCATGATTAAACAAACAACTGTTCAGGTGGAAGTAGTCGATAAAGGCTAGTAAAAACAAATGAACCGATTAAGTAATGTTAGATTGTAAGGGAAGGAAATGAAACACGTTTATAATGAAGATAAAATTAAGGGATGATAAGAAAGGGGTTGAAAATATAAAGAAAGGGTGGTGTAGAAGTTATTAGTTGGTTACGTCTTAATAGGCCAAGGGAAGGATAATGGCTTCACGAACTTCTTTTGAATGCATAGTTTAGGTTTAATAGTTCGAGTGCCTATCGCCTCAGCTGTGTGTAGTAGACGAATACGAGGTCTATTGGAAAGATTTGGTGGGTTACGACTAATCACTTTGAAGGCTCTCGTTTTCTCGATTACATGACCACTATCAATTAAGTGTGACAAAATTGAGCTACGAACTGTTTTAGTCTGTCCTTTGCCAAACCACGATGGGAGATTTTCACTAACACGTTGGCTAAGCTGTCTAGTAGTACGCCCAATATAACTGTCACCGCAGGTGCAGTTGAATTGATAAATGCACATAGATGTGGCAAAACTATCAAGCTTATCCTTCGTTTGCGTCCCAATCATTCGTCGGCTAGAGAATGACAAACATAGGTGTGCTGCATAAAATGTTCTTCGTATACTCCTTGAAAGTCTTTGGAATAGAATCTCACTTGATAAGTCACCATTAAATTGTAACTTAATAAATAAAGGTTTCTTACGTGCAGTCAGAGTCTCCGGTTTTTTCTCCGATACTTTCATATGTTTCTTTATGAAGCTACTCGGATAGCCCATCTCCGTCAAGGAATCGTGAATATATTCAAATTCCTTTTGTAAGAGGTCATCCGTACATATCTTTCTTGCTCTGCTCGCAAGACATTTTACAACATTCCTTTTATGTTTAGTGAGCACGTAACTAAGGAAGTGTGTGTATTGCCCTGTGAAAGTGCTTTTTCTATACACGCTTCTCCCAAGTGACCCATCTTCTCTCCTACTTAGCAAGACATCCAGAAAATGTAGTTCATTCTCCTGCTCCTCTTCACAAGTAAAGGTAAGCGAAGGGTGGATGTTGTTGAATTTCAGCAACAATTCATCTATGTTAACATTCTCATCAGCTAAGATAAATGTATCATCGACATATCGGTAATACATATCAAACTCTTTGATGATGTCCTTCAATTTCCCGTTTTCAAGTTTTGCGAGAAAGAAGTCAGCTAATATTGGGCCTAATGGTGAACCCATAGCTATTCCATCTACTTGTCGATAGAATGAATTATTGAAGACAAAGTGAACATTCATTGTGCATTTAAGAAGTAATTCTTTGAGGCTACACAAGGGGATTCCTAAGTCTAATTGCCTTTCGACGATTTCTTGACAGATATAATCTACTGTTTCCATTAGTGGTACATTAGTGAATAGTGATGATACATCCATGGATAACATGCGTTTATACTTCACATTAGTCTCGGATATTTTAGAGATAAAGTCGAAGAACTTGAAGGACAATTTATCGAAAAGAATATTATGGAAGCTGCCCTCAGGTTAAATTATTCCGTGAGAAGGACAACCCTTTTACCTACGTGAGTCGAATCGTTTCAACCAAAGGTGGTGGGATAAATGAAGATGTCAATCAGAGCTAAGAATTGATCAAGAAGGAAAGACATTCAATAAACTCAAACCACTGCGGAGATCTGCAGTATTAAATAAAATGAACAAGATTCGAATTATGTGTTACACATGTGTCATGTAAGTGAGCGCTTCTATGTAGATCAGACGCGTGACTTGCGCGTCACTAAAAGCATTCTGAACAGGCTACCGCAGATGTCCACCAGGGCTTGACTTCCCCAACAATCTATTACCCAACGAGTAAATATGCCAGGGGAAGTGGACACACGCTGAGGAGACCACTGAGTAACATCACGTGCCAGGCAGGCTGCCTACTGGATCCCAAACTGAAAGCGATGATTGGTGCTTGGTCGGAGGTTGAGATGGAAATCACATTTGAAGGAAATGAAGGGCTGTGGGAAGTCGTGCAGCCAATAGAAAGTGATAGTGGAGAAATAAGTGAAAAACTTATGTTCTCCTATGAGTGTAAGAAATCAATCATAAATCATTATTATATTATTTTTATAATTGTTTTAATTTTATTCGCCAAAACTAGACGCAGTATTGTGCCAAATGCTGAAAATTCCACTCTGTATCATTTGTACTGTTTTGGAATGAGCAAATTATTATTATTATTATTATTATTATTATTATTAGTTATATTTTACCTCTACTTCTAGCCACCATTCCTTTTTATGAATAGCAGTGCAGACTACTCAAATGAAAGTTAGTAGCTTGTGTGGAAAAATCAACCTTTTTAGTTTCTGCGTTTCCAGGTTCACGTCTATGCGTCTGCTTATGAAACAGCTAGAAATATTTACATAAACAATGACAGTGCTGAAATGATAACCGCATCTCAGAAAAATCAAGGCAAAGTTGTCTGAATTTATGGACTGTAAACTATCTAGAAACTGTCCATCGGCGTTTCTGAGGTAGAGGGCTCGCCAACCACGCCCCATGTGGTCTGGGGTTCAGTCCCCGGCCGGTGCACTCCTAAACCTCCTCAGGACAGTGATAAGGTCGGTAAACAGGGAAGGTTGGGCATGAGACTAGCAACTCAACATCGTAAAAATAAGACCACTGCTACAAAAACTTCAAAGCTTTAGGCTGAAGCCCTATGGTCCAGTCGGAACGCAAAGGAATAAAATAAATAAAATAATAATAAAATGAACTCTATGAACAACTGGTAATAAGTAGCAATTCATTGAAATTTAAAATAGTTCTCCATACATTACAACAGAATGAAGTGATGTTTCTTGGTTGATTTAATTTTATAGTAAAGGAATTCCCCGGTCAGTTTTTTCATGATTACTTTGGCTGGGTAGTGTGTTTATCAATAATGATTGAATTTCAGAAAAACAAATGATTAAAAACTGACTATAAGCCTGGAACTTGAACTATTTACTAGTATTGTAACTCTCCTGTATTGGTCCACCGGTTAAACTATCATACAGTGAAGCACTAGATAACATTTTGGAAGTCACTCAACCCCGGGGCTTATTTCTATTTCATAGTTTCAGTAATTCCCCTTCTTCTGTAATGTGAGTGGTCGCATCATGATCAATGCAGCTAGGAGGTATGCTAAGCATGCCTTACCATGGCCTTTATCCATTGGCAATGTTAGCTGAAACAGGACTAGGTCAGGAAAAGATTATGAGTGATCTGACGAAAAGATGGCATCAGTCCACGAAGTAATTGGCTGCCCAGTAGAACACAGGGCTTCAAGCTAGAGCTTTGAAGTTTCGGTAGCAGTGGTGTTTACTTTCACTGGATGGGGTTGCTAGCCCCATGCCCAACCTTCCCTCCTTATCAGTCTTATTACTGGCTTAGCAAGGTAAGGGAGTGCGTAGACGGGGGATCGAACCACAAACCACATGTGTGGTTTGTGCCACCCATGCTATGTAGCGTGGTGGTGTGGTATATATTACTTGACTGAGGTTCTCGGGGTTTGTTGGAAAGTGTTCGTGACCGTCTGCGACGGAGCGGACGTATTCATTCATTATAACCCTTTAGATTCTGAAAATGTTTCACTGATGTTCAATTAATTATTGTCTCTCCCGAACACATTGATCCACTTCAATTTCATTACACTTATTTTGTCTGATTTTATGGATGCTTTTATGAACTGTGTCAGTTAGAAATGCTGCATTATAATACAATGTTCTACGTTATTGTTTCATCGGAATGCTTTGGACATGCACAGAGGAGACAGATGAGTGACACCACGTACCAGCCCCTCAAGTGGAAGCCGACTGCGAAACTATCAGGTGACATCGGAGAGTGACATGGAAAATATCGCATGAGGAAGGAGTGAAAGATTATGGACAGTCACAGAGTCATCTAAAGCAACTACAGAGAGAGGAGTGAAATGGATATGTGCTGCTAAATTCCTAAGTGCCACTCTGAAACCAAAGCAATAGTAATATTAATAACAACTATAGTGCGTCACTATTTCATTGAATCAGTTATTTATTGACAATATTGGAATATTCCAGGTATCTAGAAGGCGTGCCGATCTACCTCTTTCGGTAGATCAGTTGTTCAAGTGATGGACTATAAACTCGACGGTCAATAATAAGAATCAGATTACCACTGACATTATCATTTCACCTTCAGTCATGAACATAACTTACAACTAATATGATAGCTGTTCTTCATTAATAAATGCATGGGCATAAGTATGTCTCTACTGATTCCTTTGAGTTGTGGGTGGAGCATTGGGCTCCAAGCTACTGAAGTTCCAGTATTGGTGGTGGCTTCATTTCCACTGGCTGGAGTCGTTGGTTTCACAGTTAACTTTCACTGTTTTCCGGGATTACTGCCAGTTGATAAGCTAAGTGGGACTAAGAAATGTGTGTCATCTGGGTGTTGAAGCCGGACCATCTGCGTGGTTAATGAGCATTTTACCAGCTAACCATCAATGCAGCGAATGGTTATTACTTCGTGTATCGAGATCAGCAGTGGATCCCAGCGTACACATCAAGTGGATGCATGATGACAGTGACTCAGACCTAGCACCCATCAGTGAAAAAGTCAAATCCTGGTCCACCAAGTCACTGGGCCTTATTCACTAGCACAGTGTGAGCACTACGTAGTTATCATCACTTACACATACATTCAATGTCTCATTTAAAAAATGACAACAGCAACAACAAAAATAAATTTATCATAAATTAGCTTACCGCAGTCTTTGAAGGGTTTTCCAACGGTTAGTTGACTTAATGCCAACAAGCATACAGATAAGTAGATCATGCTGGCCATAACTGACTGATATCTGTCTCTTCCTCTGTTTTCAATGCTCATTTTATCAGTTTATATTAACTTTATCAAATGAAATCTGTCCAATCAGCGGTCAGCTACCGTTTCTTACTGTTAGTAATAAACCAATTAAATAACTGAATTGTAAGTATATTTTTTCAGCAAACAAATAAAAAACAGTCAAGTCAACAGTTCTACAAATCTGGTTGGTTGTCCGATTCGTATAAAATAACACGAAGAAGAAGAAGACTGATTACTTTCTACAGACATGAGACTGAGAACTACTCCGGCCAGGAAAATATCACTGAGATTTTTTGACAATTTCAGTTAGAGTAATGACATTCAATTCAAGGAAGTTGAAATTTTAGTCGACAGGCAGTTTTGCTTAAATGAAAGCTTCTTACCTGTTTATATCTATAAGAAGAATGACTCTCTTTGGGAATATATATTTTCTCCATGAGGTCTAAATCTGTTTCAGTGGATTTCAAAGTCACAGGTGTTACAGTTATTCTTCAGTTTTGTCATTGGAGCTTGAAACATCCAAGGACCACGTATTTCAGCAAGGATACTGGCCATTGCGCCAACAAGGATACTAGCATAATAAAAAGAGAACCATCTTAGTCGTATAAATCTTGCTAACGTCTAGTATTAGATTATAATTTATCACAGTGTTGGATCACTTAACTTACTGATCATATCGCACATTTTTGACTGGCTGGTTACTACTAGTCAGCCTGAGATAAGAAAGCTACTCTGTTCAATTACCATTCTGCGAATGATTCGCCTGCACGGTTGACTGCCAGCTTAATTTTCTTGCAAAACAAGTTTTGGAAAGAGTGTAGTAATGCAAATGTGCTAGACCAAGATTACAGCTGTAGATCCAGCCATCATAAAAACTGATCTTAGTAGGCGGTATGGTAAAGAACAGTTACGTGATATGACCTGTAACGAAATTAACATAGATTCTGTAGGTTGTATCCAGAGATCTTCAAAGAAACTTAAGTAATTATTAAAATGTAAGGAGACGTTTGAGAAGCAATATATGCATGAAACTTTGCATTTAAGCGATATTAAAAGATTAAAATGAGAAAAATATCCGTCTGATTTACACCCAAAAGTATGTGACACTAAGTTTTCCACAATTCCAGCTGGCATACTACTGGGAAAACTAATTCAGATAACAAGATTGCATGTACTACTAGTGACTGATATAAGTGATCAGAAATGCTTCACACCAACTAGAAGCGATTAGTAACCAAATCGAGGTGGTTCAAACACCGTTCCCCTCGTCTACCACTGAGTTCATCAGCTGTGTATCCTACGTGAGTCGGCTGAGAGACCCATATCAGTTCGAATCATTAGAATTCTGTGCAGATGGACGTATAAGGTAGAAGAATAGTTTGACTTTCTAATCCGTGTGAAGGAAAATAAAGGCAGTACTCATGAGTAGGTCTGACTGGCCATGGTTTTTGAAAATTTGCTATGCTGCTTTAGATTTGATCTTTTTCATCATAAATTGATCAAGATAAGTTGACCTCATTAACGAACTATGGAGTACAGAGTAATCCTTTCGTTTTAGTTTTAGTAAGGCTTCACAGTACTGAATATATACTCCTCATCCACAAACTAACCACAATTTATCATGTGACATTTAGTAACTAGTGATAAATGAATTGAAGTTCATGTAGATATGCACCAGTGGCCAAAACAACTGTTTATTATTACTTACTTCAGTGCAATTCGTTGGGTGAATTGGCGATTAAGTTGATGCATAGAAACTCGAGTTAGAATCTGATTTAGACTTTTAAATTACTTCGTAAATTTTGACAACAATCGTCTTCAAAATTTCCTGTTACTTTTGAATGATTTTAAGAAAAGTTCCAAGTGAAAAGTGATAAGCAACTTTAACAATCATATGTGAATGAAATGGTTACACAGATTCATTGTCAGAGGGTGTTAAAAGTTATCTCAAAGTTCTAAATGTGTATGTTTATTTGTAGTGCGTCGGTGGCACAGCATTAGAATGCTCGCCAACCACGCATGTGGTTCGGGGTTCGATCCCCGGCCACCGACGCACTCCTTTGCCTCGCTAAGCCAGTAATAAAACTGGTAAAGAGGGAAGGTTGTGCATGAGGCTAGCAACCGCACTTTCACGTTGCTCCTATTCTGACTGAATACACGAAAACATTTCAACAGAACAATATGTTTATTTATATCCAAGAAACTGAATTCCAATTTAACCTTATAATATATCCAGCTCGATTGCTTTCAAAAACGAATTTATTAATATTACACGTTATTGTTCATTCCTTTCGTGTCTAATGGAACATACAGCTTCAGCGAAATGTCTAAACTCCACTCACTCCTCTACAAACACTCTCAGCTGCCACAACTATTACCTTTAAACCTCTCATTTCATCCTCACAATATATTAAACATCTCACGTTCAAACCAAGTACAACTCATAGATTCCCACTCACTTCCCAATCAGTCGCTTATCCAGTGTCGTATATCAATTAAATCTCTAGTATTTCACTGACCAACACACTTCCTCAGCACTTATACTCTCCCACCAACCAGCCAGACATCTGATTCACAAGATCCACGAAGTGGAGTCAGTGTTGATAAAGGAAAGTATCCAGTAGCAGAAGCAGCAGCAACAGCCTCTTTGAAACCATTTCGCTGACTCACAAACCAGTACTCTGAACTGTCTAGAAGTAATGACTTCACATCAGTGCTAAACAAATTCGGATCTTCTTCGTTGTCGTGAATTCCGTAGATCTCCACACTGACTTCAGCTTAATGAATGTCTATCTTGCATATCTGATCAGTTGTAGGCTTCGAAAGCGTCAAGTGTGGAGGTGACTGCAGTTGGAACGATGATGACTGTCTAGGTGAGTGGGAGAGATGACCCCCTTCAGATCTGTCTGTCACATCGATGATGACTGGTGTTTGTTGTTTGTTGGTCGAGTATCTCCATCAACTGCATATTTTCAAAGTCAGTCACCTCTTCTCTCAACCTGTTGGATTTCGTTTGTGTATCTTCAATTTTAGTTAAAACGAGATATAAATCAGCCTTAAAATTCAAATCTTTCGGTGTCTTCTTTTTGGTTCAGCATTTGTCCATCTTCTCACTCTTCATAGTCTGTCGCATAATGGAGTCCACCGTAATGTGGGTGATAATCGATGCTAGTTGGCAGCCTCGTCTTACTCCCATCATCATTTCAAGTGCTTCAGTTAGCTTTCCTCGTATGGTACCATCACATGGTTGCTGAAGGATTTTAATAAATATTCGGGGCACTCTGTAATGTTGAAGTATTAGTTGGACTGATAGGATTGTACAATAGTGATTGTAGTATGGGACTGATGACCTGAAACACAGTAACACCAGAAATATTTGGTAGGAAAAAGCAAGAAAGAGACTGTGCTTCTCTTAAATTCAGTGAATACCTCGGGAACAATATTACTAAACCTAGGTAACTTGGCGTCTTTATAATGCTAGAATTTTTGGTCTTAGTCGGGTGATTATGTATTGCTTTGTTCTCTCTAACTTTAAAAGAAAGTCAGAGTCAGAGATATTGCTTCGAAATTTAACCACCTACATCACCCAACACACCAGCTAAAACAACAGCTTTTTTGATTCCTGTGTGTCTTCACACTTTGAAATTCCAGTAATGGCGGTGGTACTGTTTCTATGGGGTGGGGTTGTCAGCTTTACATCCGTCCTTTCGCGTTTCAGGGCTTACTGTTTTCTGGCAAATTAGATGAGGTATAGTTATGCATTGGGAATAAAACTCCGAGCACCTACGTATCTGTCGAGTATTTTTCCATTGAATCGCCAACTCACTCACCAAAAACAAAAGCGTTTTACGGTTGGAGACAATCGGTAGGACACCTTAAACTTGGGGTTCGTGCTTGTTGACATTTAGCAGTCGGCAAGGTGTATCTTCAGTCTTAAAGGGACCCATGTGCCCTCTGTAACTCGAATCCGTGGCACCCAGTGCTGTAATCAGACACTTTACCACTGAGCTGTTCGGGCTCGCAATTGACCTCCTGTAAGACTGTATTAAATGCTTTGATTCGATACTAGCTAGTAACAAGCGTCATGCGTCTATTCTTTTGTTTGATGCAGACTGAGTCTATCAGGGAAGTTTCCAGTGTAGCCACCCTACTAGGTGGCTCACCATCACATGCATCTTAGTGAAATGACTTAAAAGTTATACGAAAAGACGTGGCAATTTCATCCGTTTGTTGAGATTTCTCTGACCACTAAGAATTTGTTGGTTTGAAAACGCTGTGTTATTAGAGAAAAATATCTTGTTAAAACTGAGACACTAACATCTATTCGAGGTGAAGTGTTTGTTATAAGTATAAAACTTGGGCACTGTGGTAGAGTGTAACTCCATTATGGATAAGATTTTATTTTCATAAATCACACAGTGTTATACAGTAATATTAACTGATGACGTTTCGAGCACAAATTATTGCTCATAATCATATCAAGTTACTCACACAACTTTTTCCTTCATTTATATATGTATGTATGGAATTGACTAGATATTTGAATAAAAATCAATATGAGATAATGTACATTCAGAGATAATAATATGACTGTTATTGATCAATTACAATTAGATGGGAAATAAGACGAGTGTTTTTATAGTCAGAATAAGTAACTTGTTAGAATGTTGTGATGTGCTTGAATTGAAATAGAATTTTGAGATTATTTATTATCCTCCTCCGAATTGACTGACTTGTGGTAATAATATCCTCCATATCTCTGGTATTTGCATTGAGTCATTTCTGTTGCATGTGTTGGGTGTAGATTCAATGAACCAGGATTCAGTAATCAATCTCTCTCTCCACCTACATAGATTACTTCTTAGAATTTTAACCCTCTCCCACCCTATTGTGTGGTTGTGTGTTATTGCATGTAGTGTAATTGCTGAGCTTTTTTCTAAATAACTTATCTTCTCGGGGTCAACCATTCTTACCTTGGCTAAATTCTTATGCCAAGGTGT